GCAGACGACGAAATAAAGAAAATAAGACATATTGGAAAATCGAGAGACCGCGAGCATATCGCGGACGTACGCAAGAACTATAAATTAAAGGGAGGCTATGTATACAAGTCAATCAATAACAAACTTAAACGGGTAGTATCAAAGAGAGTTAGGTGGCAGATGAATCACGATAACGCAGGACACTTCGGCTTTGAAAAAAATATTAAGTTGCATCCAAGAGTCGTTTTGGTTTCCGAAAATGCGTAAGTTTACGAAAAAGTACGTGTCGGCCTGTCTTAAATATCAGGGCAGTTAGGGATACGAAAACAACAACGGCAATTAGAATGCTCAAGGAACATTTTGGTTATTTTGAAACACCCAACCGTCTTATTACAGATAGAGGCTCGTGTTTTACGAGCTCAAAATTTGAATCGTTTACTCGAAACTTAGGAATAAAGCACGTGTTAAATGCAGTTGCAACTCCAAAAGTGAACGGTCAGGTAGAACGTTTTAATCGAACTATAATAGATGCTCTTAGCGCTTGATGCCACGGCGAAAAGAAGAACGCGTAGGACGACCACGCAGGCGAGATCCAACTAAGCATAAATACTACGATTAATAAATCTACGGGAAAAAGTCCCTCTGAATTGTTATTCGGGTGTAGATTAGTGAACCCCACCGAAAACATAATTAACAATGTAATCTGTTCAACTAGCAATCGCAGCAATGACTTAATTAATGCGAGATCTGAAGTGGCCGAAAAAGAGAGAAAACGACAAGAATCTGCCAAAAAGAATTTTGATGAACACAGAAAATTATCCACTTCTTACAAAATTGAAGACTTAGTTAGGATCGAAAGAACTTTGACGGACAGAACAGCGTTAGATAAGCCCAAGAAGCTAGCGACAAAATCCCAAGACTCATACCGTATTGTGAAAATCTTGCCAAACAATAAGTTTTTAGTAGAGGATATCCCTATCACGTGAAAAGGGAATAGACGATACGAAAACATCGTAGCCATTGACAAAATACATCCATGGCTTAGCTTTAATAGTCCGACCAGCGACGATAGTGATAGCGACGGCGATCAGAAAAACGAAAAAACGATAACCGACTCCGATTAACCCTACAACCAAGAACCGAACGTCGACAATAGAAGCGCGAAACAAACGTTCACGAATTTTGAGTGATTAACGCAGATTGCGAATAACACCTATGAGCATCGCACAGATGATTGCAGATCATAACGTTCACAGTGGTCACTGCGCGAGTCATAAGCAATCAGTGCAGAATATGAATGGTATTCACAGATAATGCACAGATGATCTCTGCCTGGGATAAGACTACGGCAATCATCACGTAAGTTATGAGTGACCTGTGTAGACCACGAATGATGTCAATAGGTAGCGTGCGGACAATCACAGAATATGATAGATTACTACGGTGTAAGTTATATAAGCAGTCAGTGCAGATTGCGAATCGTATCGCACATATGACAGCAATTGTAACAGATTACACATCACAAAAAAAAATTTCTTTTAGTTGTTTTTTATTTTATTTGTTTTATTTGTTTTTTAAAGTGTAAAACAGGCAATAAGAGCCAAATCGTGGATGACAATGCGTTATCCCAACGCGAAACTAAATTTTTTCGTTAGAATTAAATACCTGTGCACAAGGCATCAAATTTTACTTGGTCATGGCCAAGATTTAAAATTAGAATAATCTCTACAAGAGATTTAATTCCATGCATCCCCTGTTCCCCCCTAAGGAAATAAATGCGAGAGAAAAATATAGATCCGAAAGTCGCTGAATCGGGAATCGAACCCGAGACCTTTCGCTTGCCGGGCGACTGCTCTTCCAACTGAGCTATGGGAACAGGGGATGCATGGAATTAAATCTCTTGTAGAGATTATTCCAATTTTAAATCTTGGCCGTGACCAAGTAAAATTTGGTGCCTTGTGCACAGGTATTTAATTCTAACGAAAAAATTTAGTTTCGCATTGGGATAACGCACTGTCATCCGCGATTTGGTTCTTATTGCCTGTCTTACACTTTAAATTTATATTTATATTACAGAGCTTTGTTAAACTCTTAATTTATTTGTTTTATTTGCTTTATTTTATTATATACAAAAAAGTAAATTTATTTTGTATACACGACAGTTCAGCGGAAAGATTTGTAAGCCGAAACGAACTTATGTTTATTAAAGCGAAAGCATACCTTCTTCTTTGTATTTACACACTACATTAAGTGAGAGGACTCACTTCTTAGCAGGATGGCCGAAGCTGTAAGGCGCGCGCGAGAATATTGTGGAGGCGCCTTAACATTTTGTGAACTAGCGAGGACTCACGCAAGCCGATGTGAGGGGGGGAGAGGGGAGAAGAGCAGAGAGAAAAAAGAGACGAAGCGAGTGCGAGCGTTAAAAACAGAGTGTAAAAGTTTGGACAAATAAAGACAATTGTAATCAGCAGACACGATTCGAGAGTTTTTGATTTCATAAAAAACATTAAAAACTATAAAATTTTTACTTGAAACATTTTTTAATATCTTTTACCGTTTCGACGGTATTAGCTCAGAAATTAAAAAACCGTTTTTTCAGAAGAGTGTTTACCTCCTAAACGTCGAGATACGCCGTATAAAAAATACGGGTCTAATATTTTTCAATGCTTTACAACATATTCAAGGTTCATTAAAATCGGTGAGGGACACTTTCGACTGTTCCTTTGTAAGATTTTCCAAATAATATTATAGTAAGGATTTTTCAAATTGGCCTTTTTCAACTTTAAATAACTTCTAAACAGGTCAACGTATCAACTTCAGATATTTATGCCAAAAATTTTCCTTTTTTATGCTTTTTTAAATGATATAATACAATATGATTAGATTCCATTTGAAACGTTTGAGTTGGGGTCTTCCTGGGGCATCTTCTTGGAGGGATAATTTTTGCAACCCCCTTAAAAGAATAGCTCTTCGAAATGATCAAATACATATTTCGCGGTTCCATAATTTAAACCATTCCCGAAATATAGGAGAGGCAACAGACTTTATGGACACCTTGTATATAATAAAAATTACATATAAATATGCATCTAATAAGGATAAATATTTTACTTTAAATTTAAAAAAGAATTATTTATAAAATGTATATATTTTAAAAAATAAAATGATATATTTTTATACATTTATTACATAATTTTATAATGGATATATAGATTTGTTTACATATACATCTGTATATATTTACGTTATATTTTTTTCTATTCTTTTTTCTCTTTTAAATATATTATTAACAAGAGATAAGATCAAGAGATAAGGAGTTCATTATTTTTATATTATTAACATTTTATATATTTTTTATTAAAATACATTATTTTGGGTTATTAGTTATTATTTATTACCACATGTATCAATGAATCAGAGCAAATAAAAAGTAATAACGAGAGAGAAAGGGCCCATAGAAAAACGTAAACAGTAAGGGTCGGAGCACAAGCAGAGTCCTTCATTTTCATCTCCGGGATAAATTAAGAATACTGATTGATTGAATCCTTTATGTCTTACGCGTTATGCGTTATGTAAAAGTCTGTGCTGTAGCTGTTACTGCTTACGTTTTTTTATGTACGGCTAACGGTTTAATGTACGGTAAACGAGAGAGAAATTTAAATGGTTATCAACTTATTTCGCGTATGTGCATCCCGTTTTGATCAACTAACATAAAAAATGCTGACAGGGAGTTGCACTATTGTATATACTATGATACTACTATCCGCGTCTAGTTCTTAATTACACGAGTAATTTAAAATGTGTTTTTTATGAGAGAGCCATTTTAATTTCTCACGATCAGTGCTAGACTTTAGCCTTTATTTCTAAAGTTTTTATATTTACAAATTATTTTTATTAAAAAATTAAGATTTAAAAAGACAGGGCCAACTATAACGAGCATATTAAATTAGTGAGAGATGTAATGTCAACACATAATTAATTTATTTCTTAGTAAATACAATGATAATAAAAAATAAACGTTTCGGCTGTTACCTCAGCCTTCTTCAGTAAATATAAAAAAAAACAATAAAAAATTCTTTTAAGTAAAATTATGACATATTACGCATTGGAGTCTATTTTTTAATGAACCTTTAGTTTGATGAGTCAATAAATTTAAATTGGGTTACGCTTATATCATTAATTAAAATAGATATTGTTTCTAATCGGCTAACCATTTTTTAACTGAGATGGTAAACTTTTTAATTATGTCAAAAAACATGCAAACGAGCTCACTGTTAGTAGAACAAGTTGACAGTCCATTCCACGTCATCAATCCTTTTGAACATATTAGTTGAAAATATCGTCAGAACCGCTTGATATGAGAATTGAAACATTTAGATGTTATCCAGCATCAAAAAGTTAGTCCCCATCATCAAGCATATTTCCGAGTAAGTTCATCATTGTAGTGTATTTCACCGTGTTTGTTTAAAATTGATGAGTAGTCAAAATTCCGCCAAGTCAATGTGTTCATTATACAGAGTCACAATATGATGTGTCGAATTCAAATCGTGACTCCTATTATTATTACTATTTATTTATAAGACAATTCTTCTAGAATGTCAAAATATGACTCGTCAAGCATATCGGTATCTTTTTTTAAGTTTAGACCGTTTTTTTGTTCCTTTATATGAATCATTTCAGAAACATTTCTCGTCTGAAAATTAGATTCGGAATCTAAAATTTTTATGTCTTCCCAATTAAATGAGTGTTGGTAATTAAGAATATGTTCCGAGATGACCGAGTGCTTTGACGAATCTAACTTTATATTATTTACATGTTCTTTAACTCTCGTTTTAAGTTGTCTTTTGGTTTGGCCAACATATGTCGCATCGCAATCGTATATATATTTTTATTAATTTTATGATTTTTTAAAATTAATTCTTATTGATAGATTTCGAATTGTACTTGTCAAATTGTGATTGTTATTGATAAATAATTTTTTAAATTTAGCCATACATAAATAAAGACTTGATTATTTTCAGAATACCTCTGTCCTGGAAAATCATCACTGGAGATCAGCCATAGGATGTCTTCTAGACAGTGGAGTTTCAGCAGAATTACCGACCGCTGTAAGACCAGAACTTCAACAGCACATTAGTTCATTGATTTTAGCAACAGACATTACAAGACAACAAGAATTTCTTACACGTTTCAGGGTATGATCCAATTAATGTCAGTTTGCACTTTAATTAACTAAATTAATTATTTCGTTGCATGTTACAGGATTATTTAAGCAACAATTCACTTGAGATGAAACATGCGGAAGATCGTCATTTTATTTTACAAATTGCTTTAAAGTGCGCCGATATTTCTAATCCTTGTAGACCTTGGGATATATCAAAAAAATGGTCTTACAAAGTTTGCGAGGAGTTCTTCAGGCAGGGCGATTACGAGCGTCGTCTAAATCTTCCAGTAACACCGTTGTGCGATCGAAACATCACTAGTATCCCGAAGATCCAGGCTGGTTTCTTCAAGCACGTCGTAACTCCTCTTTATATAGAATGGCACCGTTTCCTTGGCGATGGCCTAAGTCTATCATTAATGGAATATTTGAAAGCAAATCAGAAAAAGTGGGAATCATTGATCAACCAAGAGACGACTGAACAAACAGAAACCGATGTTTCCGAACTAGATGAAGCTGAAGGCGCTATTAGTTCAGGCGAGGAAGCAGCTGCCGATGATGATTCAGGCAGCATTGATTTATTAATACCAGCCGCTTACACACAAAAAGCGCGAATGCCTACGTTTCCAGGACGAGTGGAACTTGATCGCGTTGGTAGGCGTCATTCTGTACCTCTAAACATATCGAGACCGTTGAGTGTTTTACGTCAGCCCCCTAGGAGAGAAAGCCTGCCGAGTGAGCAAATCAAAGCAAAGAGTTTCTTGCAAGAACTAGAAAATCAAAGTCTGCTGGATCCAAGCTCGCTGTCCTTGTTGTCCTCCAAAAGTAGCGTAGTTGACTCATCAAATGTAAGCACTACCGAAAGACTAGTTAGCGTGGAGCATCTCTTACCAGAAACGAGTATAGCCAGTATTACCAACAGTACCGAGGTATCAAAATTATGCACAGTTTTGCAATCGGATGATCAATCCGGTACACAAATCAAGCAACTCACACGACAACAGACCTTCCCTCCACTACAAGCACATTTAAGAACGAGGTACATGTCCACAACTGCAGAGATGTCACAATGTTACACTCAAATCTTAATAGAAGCCGACAATTCTTCCAGTTGTTCAACTTCCATGAAGGATAAATCATGTTCAAGCGGTCATTGTTGTTCACCAACATCTTTACATGATCTTGATACATGCCAAAAGAAATCTGATACTCTGAAAGTCTTCTCTCCAAAATTATTAATGATGGATATCAAAAGACGAGGTTCAACTTTGTCAAATACGATTAAACAGAAGCATGCTTTTAACTCGGAGCGTCGTCATTCTATACAAACTGTTCGCACTGATGACTCTTCTTCTAAACATCGGCGCAAAAGATCTTCTTCTGCTCAAGACTCCAATTCTATGCAAGTGTTTTATGTTACGTTAACGGGATCTCACGGTGAAAAGAACAATGTGTCTGATATGTCTGCTATGGAACCTAAACTGAATTCAGATTGTAATGTTAAACTTAACCGTTATAATACAAAATTGATGGTTCAAGAACTACGGACTATGCCATCCAAAAAATTAGATCAATGTACTTCATTGACTAAGAGCGCGTGTTTTGAACAGGAACCGCGAAGATATTCAACTCCTATCACAGAATATAAAACAATGGTTGATCACACAGGTAGACGATACACAACGATACCAATATCTTCTGAGTTTAGTACTCACAAAGTGTTCTTTATCGGTAGTCCTCCCGATTCACCGCCTCATAATCATAGTGTGTCCTCGTCAAGTAATAGCAGTGGTGAATCAAAAAGAAATATTGATGATTCGAATAACGAAGCTATTATTACTGGTAGTAAAAGAGAATTGGATTGCACAAAAGAAAAGAATTCGAAGATCGTAAAATTGAGTTCCGACGCACTGATGAAGGAAAATGTTGATCCCCGTACAAATGATGACTTCGTTAAAACATTAGCGTTGTCTCGTAGGGAAAGTCAGGTAATATAACAATAATTTTTTTATATATTTTACATTATTTATATGCTTTATATTCTTCATGTTTTATTTATTATTTACTAGTATATATAATATAGTAAAATATATGTGTAATGTGTCAAATATTATTTTTTAGTTATCTGTTTTATCCATAAATATTATTTTCATTTAATTCTTTATTAGCTATACAGAATGAAAAATCCTTTACTATAATTAAAGTATTCATAATAACAGATCTGGGCTATTATATGTATATATAGAAAAAACCAAGAAAGTTAAATAATTACAATTTTCTTATCGTTTACGTTATGTTGATACAATGCAAAAGACTGATAGAAAAACTATTATTTAGCTGTTATTTAACTATTATTTAGCTTTTCTTGTTCTTTTTATATTCATATGTAGTAGCTCAAATTTATTATGAGTACTTTTTAATAAAGAATTTTTCATTCTGTATAACCAATAAAGACTTAAATAAAAATAATATTTGTCGATAAAACAGACCTAGTCAGCATCTTCTTAAGGGATTCAAACAACTAAGTTCTTAAAAAGACCAAAGAATTTTTCTCCAATCCAAAAGAACGATAACACTTAAGCAAGAAAAGGTTTAGGAAATATTTGCTAAATATGAATACTTTCTAACCACACTTATCCACTTTTTTCTATTATTTTTTTTCAGCTCTAGCAATTTAAATGCTTTCTTGTAAAGATGATCCTAACGTTCTGCTTTATTGATAGTAGCGCGAAGTTACTGGATTCGATCATAAATCTTTTCACATTAGCTATACAGATTAAAAATTCCTTTTTGCTTCCCCTCCCCTCCCCTGTTTGTTAATATTAATACTTTAATTGTGTAAATTTATGAAATCAAGTATCAGTATTTTAATTTATTATACAGATTAATAAATCCTTTTCCGCAATTAAAGTATTTAATATTAACAAAAGTATTTAATATTAACAAACGGAGCGCGCTATAACTTCAGGTAAAAAAACAAAAAAAAATTAAAAAGTTTATCGGGCTTTAAATTTTATTTCATAAAATAGCGTTCACAGTTTGTTATTATTAGTACTCTAATTGTGGAAAAGTTTTTTTCAATCTGTATATAAAAAGATTCAAATGGTCAAATACAATTTTGCATTTTATCAATAAAATAGACATTTAGGATTCTGTTAAGGAGTTCAAATACATAAAATATATGTATAGATTAGAAGTCTCAAAGAGATCAACTAAATGTCATCTGTATATTACCAACAAAATTACTATTTATTTTTAGGCTTTCGTTTTTAATCTTTGTCATTAATTCGATAAAATTAAAAATGTTTCTTGATAATTGCAATATATACATCAATGATCCCAAAAAACTCCAATTTCATATGGAAACGAGAAATAATTGCAAAATTATAGTTTTCTTTATCTATTTTTATCTCCATATAGCGTTTCGAATTACACAAACGAGCTGTCAACTTATAATATGTGTTTTATATAAAAAGTGTACGCATTTTGTATGAAAGTGTACGCATTTTGTAAGAAATAGGCGAGAAAAATGTTGGTCCGAAAGTTGGCTAAATCGGGAATCGAATCCGAGATCTTCCGCTTGCCGGGCGAATGCTCTTCCAACTGAGCTATTCAGACACTTACGAAACAATACTTTTCTCAATGCTTTCATTCTTAATATTCTTATCATTGTTTATTCGCGTCTGGGCCTAATTACGACGCTTTGGGGGAGGCGGGGGGGCGGTTGAAAGCATTGAGAAAAGTATTGTTTCGTAAGTGTCTGAATAGCTCAGTTGGAAGAGCATTCGCCCGGCAAGCAGAAGGTCTCGGGTTCGATTGCCGATTTAGCCAACTTTCGGACCAATATTTTTCTCGCCTATTTCTTACAGGGAAAGTTAAAAGAGGACCAAAGAGAGTTTTTGAGATCCCAACCACAGGATACGAAATTCCCAGATTCCTCAATTTTCTTACTTAATTTCGCAATAACATCGCGTTTGGCTCTATGGCCAAGAAGAAGGAGGTGTATATCGTGTTTTATATTAAAAAGAGCCGATTTAATATTCTTAATATTCTTATCATTGTTTATTCGCGTTTGGGCCTAATAACGACGCTTTGGGGGGAGGGGGGGGGGTGGAAGCATTGAGAAAAGTATTGTTTCGTAAGTGTCTGAATAGCTCAGTTGGAAGAGCTTTCGCCCGGCAAGCGGAAGATCTCGGATTCGATTCCCGATTTAGCCAACTTTCGGACCAACATTTTTCTCGCCTATTTCTTGCAGGGGAAGTTGAAAGAGGACCAAGGAGAGTTTTTGAGATCCCAACCACAGGATACGAAATTCCCAGATTCCTCAATTTTCTTACTTAATTTCGCAATAACATCGCGTTTGGCTCTATGGCCGAGAAGAAGGAGGTGTATATCATAATTTTTAATATATTGTACAATTTTTATTTTTTATTTTTCTATGCTGGGGCGAATAGAAAGAGGAAGCAACTATGAATAAGAATTTACTGAACTTCACAGTGTAGCTTGTAGAAAATGACAGAAGGCAAATTTTCAACTTATCTCAAATTCTTTAACTATGTTAATAATCTCACGTAAGATTGAAAAAATAATATTTGTGCATAAAATAATGCATCATCACACATTTATCAATACAATATTCTTTAACAATTTTTAGGAAAAGAGAAATACTAAATATTTTTGAAGAAAAACTAAACTAAAATAAGAAAAAATATATAAAACGACCAAGACTGGGACAAATAATAATTCTTTATTGATTTAAATCATGACGTTTCGACTTCTAGTTTAGGTCTTTATTAAATGAAAACTGAAATAAAAATATAATCACTAGTATATATATATATATATATATATATATATATATATATATTTTAAGGAAGGAAAATTTTAAGATAATATATATATATATATATATATATATATATATTATTTTAAAATTTTCCTAAAGAAATTTTAAGATAAGCATAAGCACGATTCCAGAGATATAAAGAAATAAAAGTGATAGTTTCTTATCCCTAACTAGAAATTATCATTTTTATCCCCTTGTATCTTCAGAACTGTACCTATGCTCATTTTGAAATTTTACTGGGATTAATGTTTAATTTAATAGTAAGTATTAATAGTAACTATTTGCCATAAAAAAAGTTTGAAATTCGAAGTTCCAAAAATGGGCGAAATTTGCCATCACTCTTTTTTAGAATATTGAAAAATTGCCTATAAAATCAAATTTATTATTTTTTGTTATTATTTCAACCTTCAATATTTTCCTCTGTTATATTATATCCATATCCATTTTATATTCTATTAATATTTCTTGTATTGCTAAATTCTCAGGGATGGGCAAGAAGACGCGGATCAGCTCCAGTTGGTCTTCTATCAAAACTCGACGATTTTACGCCAATTTCCGCACCTACTAGAATTGATCAGAGTTGTAGACGTGGATCTGTACCAACAGACATCACTAAACATACACATCAAGGTATACATATTTTGTTTGTATTTGATGCACCTAAATACAATGGTTGCGTTCGTTTATGCAGTGACTGTTGCAAATGTCATTCGTTTATTCCGTCTGCGAAAGCGAGTGCAATTTATTGTTCGTTTAAGCAAGGATGTAGCTCATCTGCGCGGCTACTTCGAAATTTCTGCTTGCCGTACTGCATAAACGAACGTATAGATCGTGTTCTAAAATTTATTGCAAGCGAGAAAATGTTTATTTTCGGCGTTGACAGTAAATTTTTGAACACAGCCATATTATAGATACATTTGGATGTGCAAAATAAGTGTCCAAACTCATTTAAAATAAAAAATGTAAAATAGTTGGAAGCTTTCCATTTAAAAATACAAAAAATGCAATATGGCATTTTTAAAATGATTTTTTAAAAATAAAAACAGTTTTTTTTTATATTATTTATAATAAGGATAGAGAATGTATCACTGTGAAGAGCCAAATATAATACTTAGCAATTCGCTAAGACGAGAACAATCTCAAATCGAGATTTAAATTTCTCTTTCCATTACCCCCCTAAAATTGATGTAGACGAGAAAAATATATCGGTCCAAAAATCAATTTTAGGGGGGTAATGGAAAGAGGAATTCAAATCTCGATTTGAGATTGTTCCTCGTCTTAGCGAATTGCTAAGTATTATATTTGACTCTTCACAGCGATACATTCTCTATCCTTGTTATTTACGATAAAGAGTTCTAGCCATATTATTGTTATTATTTATAATATATTTAAAGTCTTATTTTTTATTATTTACTTTTTATAATTATTACTTATATTTAAATTCTTGTTTCTTTAATTATTGATTAACTAACTATGTGTAAATGAAGAGACTAATTGTAAAACAAGGGAACAAGGTCCGTAAATGACGGGGAGAGAAGGAAGGTCATCGCATTCATATTTCAGCATTGGGCCCCAAAATGGCGCTGCCACCCAGTGAGAAATTACTAGTTAAAAAGACGTCCAATCAACGTATTTTACATCAAATTGCGACGTAAAAGACGTTGATTCAACGTCTTTTTAACTAGTGATTTCTCTGGGCAATCCAGCCATCGGACAGCTGTTCAACTACAGGTTTTTTTTTTTACTAACATTTCGTACGACACACACCAACATACAACACACATAACTTCGTGGCCCCAAAATGGCGGTTTATGCGAGGATCTTCTTTCCTCTCTCGTCGTTTATCTGCGGACCTTGCAAAGGAACTGTTTCTCCGCGGTGGCTCCAGCCCGCATAAATAAAAAAAGTAACTATACACAGAGAGGTAAACCTTCGAAAAACCCACTTATATATTGTAAAATAATGGATAAGAATACCCAATTCCTCCTATTTGTGCTTCCTGATTGCGAATATAAAACTTGAAAATGGCGTTCGGAGCAAAAAGTATTGAAAATCGCAAAAAATGCATTAAAAAAATCAACAAAAATCAGGTTTGGAAATTTCGCTTTATATAAAAAGTTGTAAATGTGACACCTCGCTTCGTGGAAAAGTGTATGCGTGAGGGATACAGTAGTGGGTTCCGTTCCGCGGGGGTTCTACTGCCAAAGAACTAGACACATAGATTTGGGTTAAACTTTGCTTCGCGTGGAAAGTTGCAAATCCATGTGGAACCTCGCTTCGCGAAGAAAATTGTGAAACTTCACTTTTGTTTCACTCATGTAAAGCTTCACTTTTCTTTTACTTGCAAGTCCGATCGCCATTTTTAAGTTCCATATTCATGTTCAGAGGACAAAAATACATAGAAATAGGGTATTCTTAATCTTATTTCATATAGGTGGATTTTTCCCCTGAACGTTCATCCACAGAGATATAATCCTAACAATTGGGAGGTCAGAACTACTTCCGACAGGAGTTTGAAGATACAAAACTATTTTTTTTAATACTATTATTATTATTTACAAAATTATATATAATAATACAATTATGATATTTAATTTCGGCCAATAGAGCCTAAAAGCAAAAATTAATTTTTTCAGAACTGTATCTCTTGGTTTGAAATTACTAAATTCTATATATTAATTAACCTCGAACTTACATATCAAAAAATAGGCGAAAAAAATATAAATCCGAAAAGTCGCTGAAGCGGGAATCGAACCCCGTTCGATAATTGTATTATTATTAATACTTCTTATAAGTATCTTAATTAATATTTCTTATAAAATTATATATGTTTGATGACTGGTCCTGGAGGAAGGGTTTAAAATGGACAGTTCTTTAAAACTTTAAAGTAGCTATGTAAAGTGACTACCCTGTACTTTGACGGTGAATAAAAGAAGCTAAGCAGTATTCCAGCTACAAGTCCCGAGTACAAGTACACTGTGGAACATATTGTATGTCTGACTATATGCTATTGTTGGAAAGCACTCAAAAGCATAGTTGAAAGATGTAAATAGATTATAATATTGTATAATAATACAAAATTTATATTAAGACAATAATATAAATAAAGCAATGATATAATTTTTAATATAACACTAAAAAATAAAGATCAACAAATAAAACGAGATTAACAAGCATATTTTTTATAAATATTGTAAAAATATTGATTCTTTTTTGAACCACTATTTTGCACACGGAATATATTTCTTTTTAATATTATATTAATACCAAAATAATTATTTAAGAAATTTTAATTTGAGATATTTTTTCATACCATTCGGAGAAAATGTATATAGAAATATAAGTGAACAAATTATTGAAGTGACTAAAGAGGTCAAGACAAGATCAAGACAAGTTTATAAATTCACGTTTTCATTATAAAGAAAAATCAAACTTAATTTATAATGTTTCTTCTTATATAAAATATATTATAAAATTATACTCTTATTTATATAGTAGTCGGAGGAGGTTGTAATCGGCTCGCTTTAGGACCTCGAGAAAACAATTTTTTGGCCCTAAGAAGAGCTAGTCTTCCGCAAGATATTGCACTGGGAAATCTTTTTGGAAATGTCTTGACTTTAACTAGTAAGTATCTTTTATTAATAATATTATAAAACAAACATAACAATTCTGTATTGAATTATTTTAGGCGATCGTGAAAACTTCTTAATCAACAATAATAATGACAACAATAACACTAGTAACAGCAACAACAATGGCATTAGTAAACTATTTGACAGTAACATTTCTGGAATATTTTCCCCGAGACGAGGATCAGTTCCAGCAGACATATCCGAATTACGCCACGATATGTTCAGTAGAAATAGCATGAATAATAAATCGCGAAATCGTAAGAAGATTTTAAAAAGACGAAGTAGTGGGGGCCCGGAAATGTTCACCGGGGAGTCCATCGATGGAAACGACAATGACACATGGCTCAAATGGAAAAAGGAAATAGGAAAGTGTGATCCTGTTCCTGAAGGACTTGTTAAACGAAGAGGATCTCTACCTATAGAGATGGTAGCTGTTTCACATACTGGTCGGTACAACCATAGATAAAAAAGAATATGTTTTCTAAAAAGTACACGTAATTCCTTCTATTGTATTCTTTTTTTCTGTTTAATTCTATTTCTATATTGAAAAACAACTTTATTATAAATAAATTCCCACTAAACATTAATAGTAAGTAACAGTAATATAATCGATGTTATATTACTGTTGCTTAGTGTTTAGTGAGCCCTTATTAACAAAAGTGATCAATGAACAGTTTTTTGAACAATATCGACTGTTTAGAGTAAGTTGGATATTCAAGGAAAAATGTCATGTTTCTATAGATTCAATTTCTCTCTTTCTGATATTTGAGACTTGATATTTGAGATGCAATGTACTTGAATATTAGAATCGATTTTCGAGCTTGAACCACGTAGACTTTTTATTTGATTTCAACGTTTCGTGAATATTTTAGCTCATTTTAGGGAGTAACAGCCTGATACTGAACTGTTCTTTATCAAGTCTTTCTTTGTATAGTGAATGGGTCGAGAAAGAGAGGAATGTGTTGATGGAAAAAAGAAGAAGAAATGGAGAACTTGATTAGCGCCATATTTAAAAACGCTTTAATTGATTAACCAAATTCTCCACCTTTTTTGCCTTTTCCCCTTATCTCACTCCTCTCTCCTGACTCGTTTACTATACAGTGTGTAAACAAAGCACACCATCAGGTGCAAGACAACAAACTAAATCGAAAAGTCCTAAACCATTTTTAAACCTGAACTTTATTTTTAACGCTATAAATTGTTAAAGTTTGCCAATTAGCGTGGCCTTTGTACACCTACTAAGGTGGCGCCTACGCTGTTTTCCGTTCTAGCCACGCGCTAACTGGCAAACTTTAACAATTTATAGTGTCAAAAATATAGTTCAGATTAAAAAATGACTCAGGACTTTTCGATTTAGTTTATTGTCCTGCACCTGATGGTACGCTTCGTCTACCTTTGTTTAGTTATAAAGAAAAACCCAGTATAAAGAAAGATTTGACAAGGAACAGTTCAGTACCAGGCTGTTTCTCCCTGATGAAATAAGTTGAAATGTTTACAAAACATTACAATTAAGCAAAAAATCTATGCGGTTCAAACCCGAAAACCAATTTTAATAATTCTCTCATTCTCTTTTATAAATTAACACAAAATATTTGCTAGCTTGTTTACAATGTTAAAATTAAATTTAAAAAATAACAAATAAAAATAATTTTATTTATTATTCATTCATAATAATTTTTAATTTGTAGAGTTAAAACAACTCTTAACTTTCAAAATTAATTTGATATATTCATTATTATGGAAACCGATATGAAAAAGTATTTGGTAAATATATTAAGAATGAAATCAGATCCAATAATTTTGACTTTGATATATGTTGTCAAACTCTGAGTATCAATCTTCACTTGTTGTTTATTAAAAAGTTATTAACAAATAAAAATCTATATCAAAGAAAAGCGAACTTGATAAAAAAGTCAATTATTAGTTATAGGTTAAATAAATATTAGTGCTTATACTCTATACAGGGAAACATTTTAATAAAACATATTCAAAATCTCAAATATTAAAAGTTAAAAGTAAATGTATATGCAAAGGAAAGAGATCCCATATAAATTTTCCATGTAAAACAAAGAATTATTCCATATTTTCCAGTGCTTTTGTTGCAAAATAAAGGTCATAATTATATATATACAGGGTGTCCCATTTTAAAGGACCCATCCAAATATCTCAGAAATACTGCGTTAAATCGAAAAATGTTTCATACAAAAGTTGTAGGATTTCGAGGGGGACATGTGATGGTGACCTTAACTTTGACCTTGAGGTCAAATTTAAAGGTCATTTGAAGGTCAACTCTAAAATCTTAAATAGAAACCCCTATTTTTTATTCGATATTCTTGTAGCTGACATCGAGATGTTTTCAAAACACTATATTTTGATTGTTTTTGGCTAAATACTTTCCGAGTTATAAGGCTTGAAAGTTACAGTACCGCCAGCATTAGCATTACCTAAGATGTTTGGAGAACGATTCTACTAATGAAGGCAAGATCGGTGGTTGATCCATCCAATGAAGGCAAGATCGGTGGTTGATCCAACCAATGAAGCAAGATCGATGGTTGATCCAACCAATGAAGGCAAAATCGGTGGTTGATCCAACCAATGAAGGCAAAATTGGTTGCTGATCCGGCCAATGAACGTTGAGTGTAAATAATTAGAGTCAATAATAATAAGTAAGAATTAATGGTGAACAGGCTGCATTACGAAATTCATCAAAGAAAACATCATGTAGCTTTAAAAAAAGCTGATGTTGATTATCTGGCTACAGTAATACTTCAATTAATTAAGTGTTCGAAGATCGCACCATTGACTTGTTGGCAGTACTGAATACAGCGTACAAAATATCTAACAGTACGTAAGAGTACATTACGTGAAATATTGCACGCAGCTCGAATTCTCTCCTTCATGTCATCTCTTGTCGTCGGTGTATTCCGGTAGACTACATCTTTGAGGTAGGCCCACAAATAAAAATCAAGAGATGTTAGATCAGGCGATTTTGCTGGCCATTTCACTGGACCTCTACCAATTCATTGATTAGGAAAGGTATTATTGAAAAAGTTTTGACTATGTGGGCAAAATGAGAACCTGCTCCATCTTGTTGCAATCACATTCTCCTTCTTGTATTGATGTCAACATCTCGAAGTAAACCCGGAAGATCATCCCTCAGCAACTGTAAATAAGTCTCACCATTAATCATGGCATCAAAAAAATAAGGATCAATTAAATAGCCATTAATAATTCCGCACCAGACAGTTAGGCTCCAACGATGCTGGTTATCAATCTGCCTTATCCAATGAGGATTAACTAGAGCCCAATAATGACAATTATGTCTATTTAATATTCCAGTACTGTGGAAAATAGCTTTATCACTGAAAAGTACATAATTGAAAAATTCGCCGTCGTTTCGGATTTGTTGTGATGCCCACTGACAAAACAATAGCCGATATCTGTGATCTTGCTCAGTTAAGGCTTGGTTAAGAGTTATGTGATAAGGATGATATCTCACGGCTCTTAGATATCTATCAGCAATCGATTTTGGAATACCCAACGTACGTTGGATTTTACGCAAACTTACATGTGGGTTTGCATGCACCATTGCCACAATTGCCAACAAACGAGGATTCATTACATAATTATTGTTATTATATCTTTTTCGTTGGCGACGAAGATTTCCTCTCTGAATCTTAATTTCAATTTTGCGTATTCTAGAATGATCCGGGTGTTGGCGTCGAGGAAATTGTCTACGATACAATGCTGCTGCTCTTCTGTAATTGCGCCGACATTCTCCTAGGATCAAAAGAATATCGACAATCTCGTTAGGCGAGTAATCAGGCATTTTTTCCGAATTTTGATTTTACAATCGAAAAAATCCAGTAATATCTGAGAATGTCTCGAAATTGGGAACAAGTGAGAGATAAGTTTCACTTAAGATAAGATTCCGTATTCGCAACAGGTTACTTGAATAGGATTATTGGTTCAGGACACGTGACGTCTTTCATTCGAATGCCGAAGAAGTTGTCGGTATGTCAATTGCTATTGAGCTCCAGCAGTGTCGGTTTTACCCTATACATAGGCATCATAAGCAATTGCCTAGAAGTGCCACCAGAGAAGTATTGCCTACGAGCGAACTGATTCTAAAACCGGCACTGGGCTCCAGTTATTCCTTTTTGGATGAGGCAGATTAATAACCAACTTCTGCAAAATATCTTACTATTCGGCATTTTTACGTCACAGTGGAAATAAGAGGAACAACTTCTAATAGCCATGATCTTAACAAATGTTATCAAGATTATAATCTTGAACAATGTTCAAGAAGTTTCAGCCTTAGTCGGTTGATCATTTTGGGTAATGCTAATGCCGGCAGTATTGTAGCTTTCAAGCCTTATAACTCGGAAAGTACTTAGCCAAAAACAATCAAAATATAGTATTTTGAAAACATCTCGATGTTAGAATTGGCCTTCAAATGACCTTTAAATGTGACCTCAAGGTCAAAGTCACCATCACATGTCCCCCTCGAAATCCTACAACTTTTGTATAAAACATTTTTTGATTTAATGCAGTATTTCTAAGATATTTGAGTGGGTCCTTTGAAATGGGACACCCATGAGTTTCACTCGTGAATTTGCACTTTTTCATCAAAACGAAATTCAGTCACATTGTTGGTGCTTTCAACGTGAATTATGATTTATATAATTATTATAAAACTAAAATATATGTAAATTAAAAAATTAACTTTTTAAAAAAAGATAAAAGAAAAGAAAAAAGAGACAAGTATTGCAATTTTTAAGTTTACGTAATTATCAAAAAAATAGACAAAAAATATATGTTATTATTTATTGTTAATATATGTTGTTATTTATTGTTTTTAATTTTTTTATATAAATTATGATAACAGTGCGATAACAAGTACGATAACAGATTATATAGATTACAAAACAGTGCGTGCATGTGTGTGCATGCATGCATGCGTAGTTTATATATATGTTTGTTTGAGAATAATGAGATTGTGTAACACAAAAATTCATGAAAATAGAAATTAACGCACATGTTTGTTAAAAAATTATTTTTCTTACATATAAAAATTTAAAGTTTGGATAATAACCATGAGCGTTAGTTATAGTCATCTATTTATAATTGTGCAGTGTGCGAACGGCCACCTTTTATGTAGCGTAATTATGAAGTCTCCGACAACTAATATTATAATATACGTACGACACACAGACAGATAAACTTTATTTAAATAATGTTAATGATTCAAATGAATCAAATTAATATATATATGAAACTCTTTCTGTTTATGTATTCAATTTTGTAATATTGTTTTAAATATATTAAAAATTTGTTAAAAGTGCATGTCATATGCATGTATGCGTCCGTGTGTCCGTATATATATATATATATATATATATATATATGTGCATGCATACAAGCATGTTTAGTATAAGTAATAATACCCTTATAAACTGAATCTAGTATTACATTTTTTTATTATCACTCTAAAGTTTAAAAGTTTAAAAGTTTATTTTTACATACATTTTTATTCATTTATAACATTTTAATAGAAATGAGCGATGGCTAAAACCATTTGGAGCTTACTTATTGTTAGATTTATGATTTTGATGTATACTTGTATAGCTATATATATTGAATATACTGGATGATAAAAAACTAAGTATCATAAATTCGATGATGAAAAATGGATTCAATATAAGCATTTTAAATGTAGGGCGTTTAATTGAATCGTCACAACACCTGATACAATGATTTTATTCCATCAATTTGACATGTTTACAAATGTTTAAAGTTACAACCGTTAATGCTCCAACAAAAATCACAGCGATAGAGCAACTCAGTTACTCACTGTCAGTAGCACAGCTCGATTGACAACGCAATCACTGTAGTTTGGTTGAAAACTAATAATGAGAAAAATGAAAAAAACCTTGCAAGTACCTTGAAAGGTAAACAAACCAGAGGAAAACAAACGTATAGTTGCTTGTATTCAATTAAACGACCTTCACACCGTAATGCCGAAACGACGAAATTTCGCCGACCTATAGTTTCTATATTTGAAATGCTTTGTATTGGTTCCATCTTTTATCACACAAATGAATGAATGAGTTTTTCATCACCCTGTATATTAATACACATATTTAAACAGGGTGGTTCAAAAGTCTGGAAAGGGTCAATTATCTCCGATAATAAATATAGAAAATAGTGGTCCAATGAAAAATGTTACAAAAGTTGTAAGGTTTCAAATAAGATACTTGATAGTGACGCTGACTTCTAGAAGTCAAAAGAAGTCATTTCAAGATCAACTTATTTTTTTTAAATAAACTTATTTTTTACTACTTATTCTTGTAGCTCATCTCGAAAGCTTTTCAAAACAAGTATAATTAAGTTATTTTTCATTAAATATTTTCGGAGTTTTATAACTTGAAATTTACAGTATTTTTCATAAAATATGATATATCTTACAAAATATTTAGTTTTCAATAATCTTACCTTAATATTTTTATGTAGAAAATAATAAGGCCAATTGATGTAAAAAATAACATAGTTGATTTTAAAAGATTACATTTTTTTTTAAGCAACTATATGTATTTTTTTTTATACCAATAAATTGGTCTCATTATTCTATGCATAAAATATTAAGGTATAATTACAGAAAACTGAATTTTTTTACAAAATATTTTACATTTTATAAACTTACAATTAGTAAATAAATCAAAACGACTTGACTGGCATGTAAATTCTTTAATTAATATCCAATGTATGTTTTGACCATTCAAATTATGGTCTTTATCAAGTACAATAACTGTAACAAATTATGAAATAATAATTTTAAAAAACCAACCTATTAAGATTACATAAAATATTAACAAAGATATTAAATCAGACGTTAATTAAGATATTTAAAAAATTATTAAAAATATTAAAAAGAACATTAAAAACCGCGCAATCACTATAAAAAACTACTTACTTTAACATACTGTCTTTAAGGGTCGACAGGAGGCCCGGTGGAGACGTCTATCGGCCGGCCGGGAATTACAGATTCTTTCATATAAGATATTAGCCAAAATACTGAATGAATCTTATTAAATTTACAATATTCTTAATTAGTAGGATTGTCCGCAAGTCCCCAAAGATTTATTTTTTGGATAAAAGATGAAAATAAAATTAATAATATAATTTGGGGAAACGTGCAGTTAGCAGCGGGTAAGGTTGGGTTAGTCGCGAGTCCGTATTTTATTTATTATAAATTTTAAGAGCGAAAATGCAAAATCTGACGCTTTGGAGACTTACTTTAATATACGTATAAAGAATATATAAAAAAATATTTCCACGAGGCTACGTGACTTCTTCGATGCAATATCTTATATGAACGAATCTCACTTTTATATAAAGAGCAACTCATGGGGAAATTTCCGTGGTAACATTCTGACAGCTTGACAAGGAGAGAGTATCATTCTGTCTTTGTCCTTCTTGCATCTGAAAACTCGAGTTCAAGTTTATCTGGTATAATAATTTTTTTTTTATAATATATTGGAATATGTAAAAATTATTTTGAAAAAACATATTTTTAAAGGTGATTTTTAAGAATTTTTTAATATTGAAAATATTTCAATAATTTTACAACTACAACACACATTGTATATAAATGCAAAATAATTCCGTAAATAAATTAATCCAATATTTTCTATATTTTAAGAATTCTTTAGTTTTGTCTTTACAAGAAAATATATTTTTAATAATTTTTATATATCCCAACATATTATTAAAAAAGAAAAAAATGTTGATATACCGATAGATTTGAACCCGAGTTTTCACGGTGACAGACTGAACACCTTTGCACTCAGTCATTATGTACTTTTCCTTTATATTTATTTATATAGCAGATATATTAATATCAATATAATTGAAAAGTAATTAATACATATTTATTAGTCTATAAATTTACGACATGTTCTATAACAGACTAGAATTGATAGTTGTCCTCTCCTTGTCTCTATTGCGCTCGTACCGGGCGCCGATTGGCTGATCTTTTATAATTAATATTTCTTTAACTATTGCGAAAATCGCAAAATGGTACAGGACTTTTTTGGGGTGCTTATTAGCTTTGTTACGTTACTGCCTTCTGCTACGGAAGGCCAAAAAGCATTTTCAGGCCGTATCTCGCGTATACCGGCACGGTAGAGGAACAAGAATAACACGTGATTATCGGTGTTTGTTTCTCTACAGTGCGTCCGCATGAGCAATGCAATGGTGTATGTACGTGTACAGACATGTATCACTACATAAAACCCGATAATTGAGTTTTCAGCGTTGGCAACACTGAAAACGGAGTTTCGCGTTGTCACCGCGTGAGGTCTCCAATATTAATTCGGAGTTTGGCGGGCCTCCTGCCGACTCTTAATATACACTCACACCTATGCTCACTAGGGAGCGTCATAACAGAATACTTTCCCGTAGTCCGTAGATAAAAAACCTCCCGCAATATACATATATGTATAAGAACCATAACCCAAGAAGGCTCATTGTCAGTATCGGAGCTCTCAGCCCTGAAGATGCAAATTGCAAGGTTTCCGAAACATCAACGTTTACATTACTCTGTTCAATCACCTGACATTCATCCGGAAGCCTTTTGCATTGATAACTACTTACTTTATTTACTAAGTCTTTAAATTGTCTCGGGCAAATTAAGAAGATTTTGGTTTTACATTTTATATCAAAAAATTAACTTCAAATCTTATAACTCGAAAAGTACTTAATGAAAATATACTTTATTATAGTGTTTTGGAAAGCTCTTGAAATAAGCTACAAGAATATGCAATAAGAAATAGGGGTTCATAATAAAGAAATTGAGAGTCACCTTCACGTGACCTTCAAATAACTATTCAAGGTCAAATCAATGGCACCATCTTATGTCCCCTTTCGCACCAAATAACTTTTGTTCGAAACGTTTTTCCGTATACTTTATATTTTTCGAGATATTTGAGTATCTAAATGGGACACCCTGTATATATTTACCCGCAAAGAAACGGGCCATTTTTAGCAGTTTTTTAACATTTTTGAATAGCAATAACTCAGCAAAAACATTATCGTATTGAGATGAAACAAAGCTCAAATTAAAGCCTGAACATTTCTCTCAATTAAATCCAAAAAAAATCAAGATTGAATTACAAAAAAATGTTTTACAAAATGACAGACGTTAAAGATAGACATTGAGAAATAAGGAAAAATATCTTTTATAAACTGTTGCATTGCTCAGAGAAATCGACTTCCTGGTACAAAGATGTATGAGTTTTTAAAATCATTTATTTCCTAACAAATCTATATTTTTAATATTACATATTTTTCTAACAGGATATTATTTTTAAATTCAATCTGACAAGATTTTTATTTGATTGTTATAGGATCAACATCGATACCATATAGATCTAGCCTGTGGCGGCTTTAACATACTGTAGAAACACGAGGACCGTCCATGATACTAGTTGAACTTTGACGACAGATTTTCTTTAAATTATTACGAGTAACTATCAGCAACAATTTGATGACTAAATTTCAAAATTGTCGATATTGAAAATTTTCTTATCAATTGTGAACATAAGCGAATAAATATTGTAATTATATTTTCAATGGTTTTAATTTGTTAGATACATTACGATAACGATAAACTGATTTGTATTTGAATTTCAAACCTCTGATTAAGAGGCTCTATATAATTGCGATAACATATTATTCTTGCCTATACTATAAAGCGAAATTTATCAGAAGATATTTAACTTTTATTATTATTCGAGAAAATGTTACAAACTTATGTATATATATATATATATATATATATATATATATATATATACAATAAAATCTCGTTAATTTTGGCGAGATAAAAATGGAAAAAATTCTTGAAAAACAAAAATTAATTTCTACAATGCGAGCTACTCAATCGTCATGCACTTGTATGATTTGCGCATACAAAACTACATTATCTGCCTATACCGTTATGTAATCCATCTGACATAAGTAAATATAATATATTATTTAATATATTATATTTACTTAAGTAAATATATTAAATAAGCCTGAAATATTCGTGAAAGCATGCGCGGAGAGGTATCAAAATTAACGAGGTCAAATTTAAAGAGCTTCTACTTTGTATAAAACATCAAAATATTAAATCATGTCAATATAAGTGAGTGAAGAAGTATATGAAGTATATCTTAAAATATAGGACATACTTATTGTTTGCTAACATTCGATGTCGGAAATGAAACATTTGCACGTTTTAAACATTATGCTAGCATTAGAATTAAATAGATGCTGACATAATGATAGCCAACATGTTTACGTCTATTAACAAACTGAAAACATCGTATGCTAATTTTTTGTTAACAGTATGCTTATTCGATATGTTCCTTCTTTAGCTGATTATTTAATTACTACAAAATGTTAACGTTATGCTAGCTATTTAAACCATTCAAATATTTAATTCATAAGGGGGGTTCCTACTATTCTTAGTAAAGAATCAGCATCAGTGCTAGCATTTCATTTTCATATGTTGCTTGGGCATACTTGATTATCTGGAATGTTGTCAAGATCATGATTCTACGAAAAATTAATCTTAAAAAAATTTAATCTATTGACTATACGCACATTTATTATTAAAAAATTATTAAAAAATAAAAATTTAGCTACTCGAGTTACTTATTTTTAATAAAAAAATAATTGACAAATTGATGAGATATATTAATGAGATATATAATTGTAGTATATAGTTGTAGTATATAATTGTTGTATATAGTTTCATGGACTTGCAATTTTCCATGCAAAACCAAATTTATCCCATTCTTTTATGCTTTTCTCTTATACTCATACTTTTTGTTAATTTTTTCCCCTGCTAAATTTTGAATTTTTACGTTTCATATTATTACTATATTTTGCAAATAATTTTAGAACTTTTTTTATATAATTTTCCCGTGTTTCTCGTCAAAAATACTTTCGCAACTCAGTCAAAATGTGACGTAAAGTTATCGAAATCTTAATAATTTCTAATTTTCTGCGTAAAGCAAGATTCACACTACATTGACCGCATTTAACAGACTCAACGGCAATTTTCCGATGTTTGAAGTTAATTGACTAAATCTGAAAGAAGAAACGTGTCACGTTCGATTGCTACTTAATGGTTGAGTTTGCTGAATGCGCCCTTTGAATCTGAAAATATCGAATAAATGTGAAATTACCTTACTTTGAACCTAAAATTGCAAAAAAGATATATACATATATAATTATCTTAACAATAAAATATTAAATTTCGTTCGCCAGGAATGAAATACTAAGGTAGTAGATATTAAACTGACTACACTGGCTGTCTATTAGATTTGTTAAACTATATTTATTGACGTTTCGACCATACGGGCTGTGGTCCTTTTCAAAAGTCCAGTACAGTGTGTTCAGTCGTGGCAAGATGACACAAGTGAAACGCAGTTAATTTACCATCCGATCTTAAGTTAAGTCTTACCGGAGCGTACTTTTAAATGTCAATAACGATATGCAGTAACTCATTAATGCTTCTATTGTAATTTTGAAAAGGACCACAGCCCGTATGGTCGAAACGTCAATAAATATAGTTTAACAAATCTAATAGACAGCCAGTGTAGTCAGTTTAATATCTACTACCTTATAATTATCTTGTTTTAAAAGCATTTATATAAAAATTAAAATGAATATGGGGTTAAAAGTACGCGTGTATGTACATAGTGACATCTAAATTATGTTTAATATTAAATTTTTTATTGTTTATTTATATTCGAACTCGTTCATCTGCATGAACTTTAATTTATTAATATTATTTTCATAAACAATCTTTTAAACAAATTTTTAATAAACAATGACTAAAACCTTGTAAAGATCACTCATTGTAAAAGCATGATCTTGACAATATATTGTATATCAATTGAAAGATTTTTAAAATTTGATCATATAAAGGTAAAATATTCTACTATTTATATATAAAATATAAAACGTTGATTATAAACATTTCAATGTTATTTTTTATAGTGATTTAATAATTCACAAGAAAAAGATATAAAATAATTTATAAATTTAATGGAACATAAAAATAATTACAATTTAAAAATAAAATAAAATCGATTATGTAAAAATATAAATACATTTATATAATATAATCTATTTAAAAAAAATTAATTTTCGTTGGAGATGTGCGCAAGGAACATCCGCGTATGGCTCTTATATAGGCCTTACTTATTTGTATTTAATATATAATCTATTTTGTTTTTATGTTAAATCTTTAATTTTAAATTTTATGAAATGTATCCTATATATTGAGATATCATTCATGTAAGCATATTATATACAGAATTATATGCTAATGTCTTCCTTGCTGTCTCCATAGGAGAAGTAGAAAAAGCTCATCGAAAACTTCACATCTATTTGTGCCACATATATATGAAAGTTATTCAAAATACGACATTCAGAAAAAACTGTATTTAATCATAGTTTAAGTTAAATTTAGTACTTAACTCATTAAAAAATAAAAAGAAAGAGAGATAAAAAATGGTTATATACAAAAGATAGAATTTATAATATGACAATTTCTTATTAATTAAAATGCTTATAAATGGAGATAAAAAAACTGACAGAGGACACATTCGTCGCTATACTTATGTACTGAAAGAGACGTAGATTGAAAGAAACAAATTAACATTTGCTCACAGCTAGACAAAAATTACGATTTTCGAAAGATTTATAGCAGAATAACATCAGACTATTAATTAATAAAAAAAGCGATGATACATGTTTTAATATTAAATTCATAAATTAACTTTTGGTATTGTTTTTTCTATAATTTATAATCATATATATTCTACATTAAATTAACTTTTGGTATTGTTTTTTCTATAATTTATAATCATATATATTCTACATTGAACGTACAAAAGTTAACGAATTTTATTTTATTTTTAAATCAAGAATAATAATTCATAATAAAAAAAAGTTGCTTTTCTTAAGTTGACTCTAAAATAAATATATCCAAAAGAATGATTCTCTTTAACCACTTTAACCATTTTCTCTTTCCTTAAATTAATAAACAAAGTTCTAATAATATATATATATATATATATATATATATATATATGTATTTAAAAAACGATTATTAAGAGCAGACGCAGATTGAAGTGCAAAAACATATACTCATTGTCAATTTAAAATCAAATAGGCAATGTTTCTATTCTTTTATCATCTTTAAACGTTTCTCCTTCGGACCATCTTCAGTGACTACATGAGATAAAAATACATATAACCATGTAAGAAAAAATATTTTAAAAAAGATATAGTATCGTATATGAAAAGTGATATATTAATATAATTTATAATGCAATCAGAAATGTTCCTAATGCGTCGGATGCAATGTGTATTGAGGTTGCAGGTTTGAACTGCCATTTCGGACATTTATAATAAAATAAACAAAATAAAATTTTAAAAACGTATAATTTTTTTATTCTAATCTAATCAGAAATGAAACAGCGTTTAACAAGATTAAAAACGAATTTAATGAAGCCAGATACGAGTTACTTAACAAAAATTGTTCAATGTACGGAGATCTAGCACTTTGTTGCAAAGGTCCGGAAACACTCTGTACATGTTTTTATTTTTGTGCTTCCGCGCTTGCTCTTAATTATTTTTAGTATATCTTTTTTTATCAATTATTATTGCATATATAAAAATTTTCAGCATTCCATGAGAAAAGTAATATAAAATAAAAATAAAGTAAATAATAATAATAATAAAATACCTAATAATAATAATAATAATACTAATTATTGGTTTCATAGCGTTAAATAATTATAATCAGCAGCACATTGTTGAGTGTTTTCTAATAACAACACATATGGTGTTCAATGAGAGAACGGCCTGCGCTTTAGACGGGCAAAATAAGGAGAGATACCGACGGTTCAATGTTTCGGAAGTCTGGTGTCATTGCACTGACAAGTTAAATAAACAGTATAAAAGAAGACTATGGGCAAAAATCTATCCGAAACGAATTTTTGTCCGATGCACGTTCTTTCGTTGAATGAAGTATATACATATGTGATACTGTGTACATACACAGTGTACGACCCAGTGCTTTCCAACAGTGTCATAACTAAAACAGTATCGTTGGTGCCAGGCGCAAGCTTCGGGGGGAGGGGGGGGAGGCATAGACAAAATAAGAAAATTTGAACATTTTTTTTAAATTTGTGAAAAAAGTATATTTATTTGCAACAAATAAACGTTCCTTTTATAATCAGAAGTTCAATGTTTTTATTAAATGGTATTTCGGTAGGAGAAACTTTTTGAAAAAATTGAAAAACTTTAAAAATATTTTAAACTTTAAAAAAGCTTTGTAAAGTGATTGCCTGTACTTTGACAATGAAGTAAAAAAGCTGAACAGCGTTCTAACTATAAATCGACACTGTGTCACAGTATATGACTGTGTTCTGTCGCTGGAAAGCACTCACTATTTGTGTTTAATTATTTCTAACTAATCAATATTCAAGTATTAACAATCAAGTTTATAATATTTCCCAAAAACAATTTTCAACACAGGATACATAACATTGCAATATGT